ACTTAAAAATGACTTGACCTATAAATTTGTTGCCAAAATAATATACCTGGTAATTTTTGAAAAACTTTTTTAAACTTTTTTACTTTACTCCTCAAAAATATCTATTAAATTGTTATTAATATTTGACAAAGTATTTATTATAACCTAATTGTTTGTTTTTAATAAAAATTATTAAACATTAACATTTAAAAGAAAATGTAAATAACCCTGATTAAAATTAATATTTAAATAATTAACAATTTTAGTTATAATTAACAAAAAATATATATATAAATAAAAAATATGAATAAATTTTAACAAATTTCTTAAGAGGATATCATGGGAACTATTTGTTCAATTAGATTTGCTATTATGCATCTATAATACAAATTATAAAGTCGAAAAATTACTATTTAACCATTTATGGGTTAATAATTAATGTTAAAGTAACTCTGCTTTTAAAACAGCTGATAAATAATTACAAAAACAGAGACGTCTGGCAGTTTTGAGTGACATAACCAGAGACTTGCGCCGTTTCGGCTTAAGCCGACTAAGCCTAGCCGCCGAACAAAATGTCAAAGCCGCCGCCGCCGAAAATCTTTCAGCTTAATACGGCTTGAAAATTTCGCCATATTTTGTACAATTTACAGAACATTTTCACTAAATTTATAGAATTTTACAATATAAAATTAATTTGTTTTCATTTAAGCAAGTTTTCTTTTATCTAATAATAAGCCGCTCATTGAAATTTGGCCAGTGTAGAACTTTGCTCAACGTTCGATGTATATGCTTCGCCTCAGATATTTTCGTGTTTTCGCGCCTAATTCGAGTCGCTGCTTTGACTTCAAACCAGCTTCGTTGACGTCAACGGAGCTACACCTTTTTACATTGCTGGTATGTCATACCGTAAAGGGCTAGGGTATCGAACATGTGTATTTCAAATGGGAAGTGCAGTTGATGTCAATTCTGCCGACTGCGAAAAGAAATTCTGCTAGAATTTTTCGCGCCAAACTGTTTTCTGCATTTTTTATTTGCCAAAAAAATCTGTTGTTGTGTGTGTGCGAAAATCTAAAATGACAGAAATGATATTCTTTAAATAAAAAAATAATTTTTTACTAAAAATTTAAATTAATAAGATTGTATGCTATACTACTATACCGAGGGTCATTGTACAAAGAAACAGTGTTGGGTTGAATTTAGTTAAATTGTTAATAATTATATGGGTTTGTTTTCGTTTAATACCCAAAAGTGTTTATCGAAACCTATATTTGGCATATTTGTGAGATCAAGAAGATTAAAAAATGTAAGTAATGGTGTTAATTAATTATTTATTTGTCTATAAAGAACGTCTTTCTTTTCAAGAAAGAGGAGGCATCATGATGGTCTCCTGGAAAAATGCCCACAAGAAAGTGGCAATTGTATACCTCCCTAGTAGCCTAGGCGGGTGGTGGTCGGTCGGCTAGTAGTGACATGGTATATTATCACCTACAGGCAATGGAAGGAAGCTGATTGCCGTATTCAGGGGTATCCTTGAGATACATACTTATTATTATACCATTGATCTTAGCAGAATCACTACCATACACACATAATAGAGCGCGATGTCTGTCAGGTGTGCCTTTCAGTGAAGCTCTTGTTGTCTCCAAACACTATGGTGGCCGAATATTTACAAGAAACAATTGTTAAGCCGTCTTTTATACAAATTTATACCTTTGTGGAGAATGTCTTCACGGACCTAGAGCATATAACCTGGCTAGGTATGTATATGTTGTTTGGGCAAAATATTGGTACTAACCATTGTGGGCTTTATGTCGACTTTAGATCCCTTATAGTTGTCACACTATACCAAATAAGCATTCTTGCTGAAATTAAAGTTTAAAACAAGTTTAATTCCAGTCAAACATTCAAATTTCAAGTGTTGAAATTCACTTTCATTACACTTTAATTCAATAGCATTCTCCAGTGAAAACGAAACTTGAATTCAAGTCGAACATTAGAATGTTTTTACAGTATAATTCAATGCACGAAATCTATATACATATGTACATACATACGTACATATATAAAATTCTAACGTTACTGACTGACTGATTCATCATCGCACAGCCTAAACGATTTTAGCTAAAGAGCTTAAATTTGGACAGGAGGTTGGTCTCCCACCAAATAGATCCACTAAGACGGGATTTTTGTAAATTCGAATGATTAGGGGGTTAAAAATGGTAAAAACAGGTAAATTCAGTAACCTCATATCTCCTAAACTATAAAAGATACAAAAACAGTTTAAAGCTTATCGTCATTCATTTAAAAAATAAACGGACAGGTGTCTGGTACTTTTTTCAAATTCGGCCCCTTTGGGGAATAAACGGGTAGAAACTGTAATTTGGTACTTCTTTTGCACCACATGTATCTTTTAAACCAGAGAACATTCAAAAAATATTTTTGAATCCTTCATAACTTGACGAACAAATAAAAATATGAATTTAGTACTTACTTTTTTTATAAAACATTGTTTTTTGGTTTATTAACTTATACATATGAATACATAATAACGGGCTCCCAATACGATGTTGCAACTGGTACTTTTTTGACTTAGAATTTAGAAACATGTAATTAAGCACTTGAGAATCTATAAAAGTGGACTTTTTGGTACTTTTTAGTTCTTCAAAAGGTACTTTTTGAGTTTTCTATTAAATTGAACATAGAAACATGAAATTATGCACGTAGAGCCTGGAGTAAATGAGAATCTATAAAATGACACTTTTTGGTACTTTTTCGTTCTTTGGCTGGTACTTTTTGAGCTTGCTACAAAATTTGAACCTCGAAACATGAAATTAAGCACTTAGAGCCTGGAGTAAATGAGAATCTATAAAATGGTAACTTTATCGTACTTCGACTGGTACTTTTTGAGTTTTCCATAAAATTAAACCTAGAAACATAAAAACAAATATGTAGAGCCCGGAGTAAATTATAATCTATAAAAAGGGACTTTTTAGTACTTTTTCGTTCTTCGACTGGTATTTTTTGAATTTTTTATAATATTGAACCTAGAAAAATTAAATTAAGAATGTGCAGCCCGGATTAAGTAATAACATTTAAAAGGGGACTTTTTGGTACTTTTTCGTTTTTCGACTGGTACTTTTTGAATTTTTTATAATATTGAACCTAGAAACATGAAATTAGGAATGTACAGCCCGGATTAAGTGATAACATATAAAAGGGGACTTTTTTGAACTTTTTCGTTCTTCAACTGGTTCTATTTGAATTTTCTATTATAACGAACCTAGAAACATAAAACTAAGCAATCAGGGACTTGAGTGAATGAAAATTTAAACTGGAGTATTTCTGGTAATTTTTCGTTCTTTAACTGGTACTTTTAGAATTTTCTAAAATATTGAATATATAAACATAAAATTAAACACGCAGTATCCTAATTGAACGAAAATTTATCTCGCTTACGTCCATTTTGCAAAAATGGCTCGATATCAATCGAAATTTCTATAGGCCATAATTGACCCTGCCCCCTTCAATAATTGATTTTAACGTTTTTTACGTACTTAATAATACCATAATAAAACAATTTTTGTTGGAACGAAAATATGTAATGCAAATATGTATATGAAATCTTCTTGAGAAAATGACTTAAACGCACATAAATGGATTTCAAATGTCGATGTCGACGAAAAAAACATTTTTAGGAACCGAAAAATAAAGTTATGAGGATCGCTCCGCCAATATAACCCTCTTACAGAAAATCAGTTTATAGCTAATACATCATTCCAAAAGTTATCATTATGATAGAATTATAGTAGAATTAAAAAAAATACTTTAAATTATATATATTATTGATCCAAATCCACATTTAAGTCCCTAATCCGAAAAACACGGTGACGTTCTTATTAATCTAATGATCGGACCACTTCCGAAATTTGCTTTTTTACGACATATGATTTGCCGAATATAACTCTTACTTCTTACTTATTTTAATCATAAATTACCGCTAAAATAGGATTAGTCTGCCTTTAGAGTTGCGAGTTTTCATACATTCTAATAATGTTTTCAAAGTGAAACTTTTGGAATATTTTTCAATCTCTTTGTGATCCCTTTAAATGATGTTGTTCTGGAAGAACTTTAACATCCATGTAAACATTTTGGGTAATAAATTGGGGGACTACCAATGAGGGGAGCAGAACCTCCCATATGAATTAAATACAAAAATTCGTTTATCTGGGAAACTAATATAACTAAATTCTTCAAATTTTGCACGAACAACTTTAATATTCATCTGAACATTTTGGAGAAAAAAGTGCGGACTTTCATCTGGGGGGCTTGGAGCTCCCATATGAATTAAATAGACAAATTCGTATATCTGAGAAACTATTAGAGCTAGAATCTTCAAATTCTACTGAAGAACATTTAGAGAATAACGGGCGGTCTTTCAATGGGGGGCTTGGCACTTCCCATATGAATTAAATACAAAATTTTGTATATCTGGAAACTATTAGATTATTCAAATTTTTCATAGATTAAATTAAACGTGGAATCTCCCATATGTAACAAATTGTATATCTGGAAAACCATTGTAGTTAGAATCATCAAAATTGTTAAGTAGGTTTCTTATTTATATTGCTTTTAGGGTAGCACAGCACACTGGGTATAGCTAGTAAATAAACAAATAAAATATCTTTGTTTTTACGTTATTGATCATTTTCTTAATGCAAAATTTTTTAGAAACTAATTTTCTGCAAGATGTTTTATATGGAGAACTTGGAGAAAGGATTTGTTTTTAATTTTTAAGAATTTTGTATTCATCCCTGCATAATTTCTCATACAACTTTTGAGTTTGCTCTGTTTTGTTGTTATAAACAATATATTTGCTTCCAAAATCCTACTTTCTGATCTCTCGGATTCCGTTTTTATTTAAAATCGTTGAAAAATTAAAAACAACGTAGTTGAAAACTTAGCCGGCTTACAGTCGATTTTAAGCCGCCGCCGACATATTTAGTGTCAGTCGCCGCCGCCGTTAATATTTGTCGGCGCAGGGCTCTGGACATAACCCCAAATTTACAAAAATTTAATAAGAAAATACGGCAAAAGTTGATATATTTCATTAAAATTTATAAAACAAAAGAAATATGTCAGCTTACAAATACACAGACTTGGTGAAGCTGGGAACCCAATATGCCAGGCGCATGAATTATCTGTCAAATCGTATATTCGGTGAAGTGGCTCGCACAACCAACGATAAGTCCATGAAGGTAAGTAAAATCTGCCCGTAAAAACAAGACCTTTTGGGAATACTAACGCATTTATACTATTTCTTAGGTAATTCGTATGTTTAGTGAAGAGCCAGTGCAAAAACGTGACTATGTAGTCAATTGGTATCCCCGTCATGTAGAAACCCATTTGCTAATGATGAATCTACGACAATATGGTTTGTTCCGTGATGAGCATCAAGATTTCAAAGAAGAAATGAAACGTTTACGTAAATTGAGAGGTAAAGCGCCACCCAAGAAGGGTGAAGGAAAACGTTCCAAGAAATAAAGCAAATCTTATTTTAAACTTTAAAATTCTATATTTATTGTTTGTTATTGCTTAACAATAATTTAGCCAGACCTTTGAAAACAATGTGCTCATTTTGTTTACATTCATAGGAAACAATTGAAATTTTACGTTCCTGTTGTACTTGTAACAAGAACTCACAATCTATGTCTATGCGACAGGGATTAGGAAAAGAAAAGTTTTGTTCGAGAACTATGCTACCAGCACCCGGAAATTGTGTGCCGATAATGCCAGCAACAATGGCATTCAATAGAGCACCATGAACTTTTCGTTTCTCCTTGGGCACTAGCTCCGAGTGTATATAATTAAAGTCTCCTGTTAATTGTGAAAAGTCGTCCAAATCTTTTTGTGTGAAACGTTTAATTACTTTCAATTCTGGAACTTTGAATATTGTTTGATGTTGCTTACTCAACCCTCTGGTCATTTGTAGGCAACTGGGTGTTAACTTCAATAAGTTCATGGCGTTGTCCAAAATCTTCTATCATTAGGTTGCAAATATTAACAATACGTTGATCTTTTTCGTATACAGTCTTGAAATGTTGGATTTGTTTTAAAATTGTTGCACATAAACTAAGGTTTTTAGTTGGTGGCAAGTTGCTTAATAATTGATACAGCAGAGTTAAACAATTTAGTATAATATGCAAATTGTTAGTTTTTAATAACAAATTCTTAAGTTTGTTGAAATTATCGGTCTTAATTATATATTTGAGGGCTTGTTTATCTGAAATTTAAGAATTTGTTAGTTTAGTTCATTTTATTGTAAAACAAATACTTTACCCAAACAAATATTACACAATCCCGCCGAACCGTGTAGTTGTAATTTTTCATTAGGTAACTCTAGTAATTCAAAAAATAATTTTAAAACTTCGGCAGTTTTAAGATAATCCCAATTTATGGGATCATAGGCAAAATTAGCTAAATTGGCTGATACTTGTTCTTGGGCTTCTAAAATTGTAAAAAAGGTAAACATTAACATAAATTAAAAGCAAAATGAACTCTATATTCGGTTGCGCCGAATCTCGAGCACCTATTTAAAAATTTTGAAAGCTTAAATTATAAACAAATAATAGACCGAGAGATTTTGAGAAGAGAGCTTTATATGAGTCGGATAATGATATTGTAGAAATTACAAACGGAATCACAAACTTATAATACAACCCTTCTCACGAAGGGTATAAATACCGCTAAATTATTTTATGTATGTTTCGACTTACCCACATTAGTAGTGGTGTAATATTCTTCCACCAAATGTTCTATGAATTCTTGACGATTTATTCCCTGTTCTGGAGTTTTTCTTTTTAAATAATTATGCGAACTAAACATAGTCCAATATGTTTATTTCAGAAAACTGGCAATAGTTTATACAAATTGTTTTGTTTGTCGATTTGCATGTAAAGTTAACAACGGTAATTAGCAAAATTTTTGATATTTTTTTTCGCAATTTAAACTTTAATTTGAAAAATTTAGAATATAATTAGGATTTTGGATTAAAACATTCCTATTGAGATTAATTAGTTGGTTACAAATCTCATTAAAAATTACTGTGGTTTCGTTACGAAAGAGCGAAATTTCCATCAAAAACGAATTTATTAGATTGTGATAAATTTATAAAAATATATTTATAATGAAAATACCATTACTAATTTTAAGGACTCATAGTTTCAAATGATATTACTCCATTCGTTCGTTTTGTATTCGTTTTATTTTCCACCGATTTTTTCAACGAATCTAGTGTTTTTTTCGCCACCAGTTGATAAATGGCAGCCATTGTCTCGGTCGCTTTATCCACTGGCAGTTGCTGTAATTGCAGTGCTGTTGTTTTACCAAACGAATTAAAAAGATTATCATCCTCGATACTGTCACCGGTATTGGTTGTGGACTGAGTTTGCTGCTTCTTTACTGAAGCCAATATCGCATCAATAGCATTATTAAATTTTGTATCTCGCAGGGATTTTCTATCAAGCTTAACAATTTTATGTTTACGTTGTTTAATATTCACATTATCTCCTTTGTTACGCATTGAAAGAACTGACTGTGTTGCTGTAGGTGACAATGTTGATTTCCTTAATATGACAACCGTGTCTAAAAATTCTAATTCATGATAATAGAAAAGATTTGGCTTGTAATCGATACCATGATCTTTTGATTTTTCCGATTTCTTTTTCTCCGAAACATAAGCCGATCGCAAATTTTTAAGTTTTTTCTTAACTTCGTCCACTTCTTTGTCACAGGAGGCCGCTATATCTTGCCAAGCATTTTGCTTGACTTCGTAGTTATTGTAATCCTCATGGCTAGTATTCCATAGACACTCGTATTGTCTATATAAACTTATCAAATTAGTGATTTCTGTTCTTGTCCAGTCCATTTTTCTTAATATTTAAATAATTGTGAGGCTTTGATTTATTTTTTCACTTAACATCTATGTTATAACAGATGGTAAAGCATTGCTAAGTCAGTTAATCAAAACAATTGTTTACAAAGAAATTGGGGGAAATTATTTCTAGTTTTGGGAATCAATATAGACTTGCCACAAAAATTCAACAACGGGAAAGAGTAGCAGACTTTTATAAGAAATGTTGCCAGATTGTATAAAACAAAACAGAAACAATTGATTTGTGAAAAATTGACTGAAGCTAAAAATTTAGAAAATTTTATTAGCTAATAGGTTTGTGAATGAAAAAAAAATTCAGTTTTTTCACTTTTTTGAGTTCTCTATTCTGGTGATTTTAGACGGATTTTGCTATTATGTGCGTTTGTAACAAAATTATTCACAGAGGACAAAAATGGAAATATGGATGTTTTAACCACAGATATACCGTTTTAACTATGTATGTCCGTCCTCAACAAAATAAAATCATATTTTTCAAAATTTTTTTTTATATCAACTTTTTTGACCTTTTCCGACATTTTGAATTTTATAGTCAATCAGCTTGTTATTTTTCTTAACTATATTTTGGAAGTTCTTTCGAAAAAATTCTCTCCACTGAATTTTTTGTGTTGTTTTATTAACAAATAAATTTAATTTAAATATGTTAGTGAATAAAATACATTATATGCAGTATATGTCATAGAAGCAATATCAATTGAATTTGAGAAACATTTTGTATTTTGACAAGTAGACGTGTAACTGCAGGGTATGAAAAATAAATTGTTAGTGGCAACGCTGATTACTATACAACATTGAAATTCAACTGCAGCGCACTTCAGGAAGAATCCGGCATCCAACTTTCTTTTTGTCTTCGTCGTCTGACAAGTACGGACGTCTATAAGAAACTGAGATATGGTGAGTTAAAAAAAAGAATTAAAAGTGATACAGTGAAATAAAAATTTAAAATAATTTGTTAAGTTAAACAAAAAATATTAGTGAATATAATTAAAAATTAGTAAATAAAAGTTGTTTTTACAATTCTAAATTAATTTTTAACTCAAACAAAAAAGATAAATATGTACACGTGTTTGATAAAATGTCAGCCATATTGTTTTCAACATAACCTCAAAGTTTTATAATGTGAACAAAGATTTTAATTGATTTTTTTTTTTTTCATCTTATTTTAGTCTCATCGTAAATTCTCGGCTCCTCGCCATGGTTCCATGGCCTTCTACCCCAAGAAGCGCTCAGCTCGCCACCGTGGTAAGGTTAAGGCTTTCCCCAAGGATGATGCCAGCAAACCCGTCCACTTGACTTGCTTCTTGGGCTACAAAGCTGGTATGACTCACATTGTTCGTGAGGCCGATCGTCCTGGTTCAAGTGAGTATTATTTTCATTAATAAACAGATAAACGATAATTATTGTCAAAGTATAAAATAACTGTGATGAGGAACAGTTAATTTATTATGGTTAGAACAAAAATGATTTCTATGATTATAAAGTAACTAGGGCGGACTGATGTGAATTTTATACAAAAGCCATAATTTGAAAAATACAAATTCTCTTAAACATCCAATCTATAATATATATTTTTCTTTGTGATATTTTCAGAGGTGAACAAGAAGGAGGTCGTAGAAGCTGTAACCGTTTTGGAAACCCCACCCATGATTGTCGTTGGTGCCGTTGGTTACATTGAAACTCCCTTCGGTCTTCGTGCCTTGGTCAATGTCTGGGCTCAACATTTATCCGAAGAATGCCGTCGTCGTTTCTACAAGAACTGGTAAGTTTATTTATTCCCTCTTTTAGTTTGCACTTTAAAGACCACGTGGTGTAGTATTCTCTTTGTGGATAAAAACACATTTATTAAAATCTTTTTTTCTTAATGATGATAGATGGTATCTGAGAGCTTCTTATGAGGATATTATATTTTTTACCGTCTCTGTTGCCTTCCTTCTGATTGCAAAAAAAGTTTTAAAAAATGTGTTGAGAATAGAAGTAGTGGTCATTTAAAAGATTTGAGATTTTTTGTTTATCATTTACTTAATTTGTTGTAAAATATAAAGTTCTTGGATCAGCTTGCTGAGAGAGCTTTTAAAATCTCCTTTGGTCGTGTGAGCTCAAATGATGAAACCTAAGAGAACTTTCCGCAAGGAAGTTTAAAAGGATTAATGAATTATTTGCCAGTGAGCACGACGGGAAGTTGTAATCTCCGCTCACTTGCACGTGATGAGGTTCTCTTCCTTTTGTTTATTTTAAAACAGCTATGAAATTGAGTTTCTGGCCTTAAAAACCAATGGAGCTAAAGATTTTGTTAGAGGAACTGAATTTCTCAAAATGTTGACTACACATACACTCACGTAACGCGTCGTCTTCAAAATATACGCTGAACTAAGAAAACGCTTTAACTGTTAATGAGTTTAAATCTAAAAGCAAGATTTCATTGTTATAATCAGGTACAAATCTGAAAGAAAAGCTTTCACCAAGTCCAGCAAGAAATGGAATGATGATTTGGGCAAGAAGAGCATTGAAAACGATTTCCGTAAGATGCTCCGTTACTGCAAGGTCATCCGCGTTATTGCTCACACTCAGGTAATTATACTATTTCTTATAACTATGTTTTTGTATTGAAAACGCGACGTCCTTGGTCTCTGGCGCCGAGTGCTGCTATAGAACTTTCGGGTTTGGTGGCGGTGCAAAGTGTAGGAGTTCCTAAAAGGCGGTCTTGCTGGGATGTTCAATGCCCGGTTATATAACCGCAACGTCGCAGATTAAATTGCCCTTCGGGTGGCGATTTTTGATATATTCCACTAACTGTACGTAGTCGCTTAGGCAGTGATCGTACAGTTAAACCATATCACAAACAGTCCAATATTCACATAAAATGTGGAGTATTATATATGTATTTTATGACCAAATCTAAAAGACATTTTTTTTACCTTTCCCTCTCTTTAGATCCGTTTGATCAAGCAACGCCAAAAGAAGGCTCATGTTATGGAAATCCAATTGAACGGTGGCTCCATTGAAGATAAGGTTAAATGGGTTAAGGAACATTTGGAAAAGCCCATTCCCGTCAGCAATGTCTTCGGCCAAGACGAAATGATCGATTGCATTGGTGTTACCAAGGGTAAAGGTTTCAAGGGTGTCACTTCCCGTTGGCACACCAAGAAATTGCCCCGCAAGACCCACAAGGGTTTGCGTAAGGTTGCCTGTATTGGTGCCTGGCATCCTTCTCGTGTGTCCACCACTGTGGCACGTGCCGGTCAAAAGGGTTATCACCACCGTACCGAAATCAACAAGAAGATCTACCGCATTGGTGCCGGTATCCACACCATGGATGGCAAGGTAATTAAAATTTATTTTTTAAAAATAATTTTTTATTTCCAAGCTTATTGTTAGTTTTAGCATGATTTGACTCCTTTAGTTTTATCATGTTTTATTAACGATTGCTTGTTCTTTTGCTATGATGATAACTTCATTAAGTACCGACATCAAACAATAAATACTATTTTGATAAACCACATGATATATAAAATGATAGGACTGATCATATCCTTTAAATATATAATTACTTTTATTGGTTTTACTTAATATATTAATTTGTATTTTCCTCTTGTTCTTCTTGTAGGTTATCAAGAACAACGCCTCCACCGAGTACGATTTGACCGACAAGGCCATCACCCCCATGGGTGGTTTCCCTCATTATGGTGAAGTTACTAACGATTTCGTCATGATCAAGGGCTGCTGTATCGGTTCCAAGAAACGTGTCCTTACCTTGCGTAAGACTTTGTTGAAACACACCAAGCGTTCTGCTTTGGAACAAATCAAGCTCAAGTTCATCGATACCTCCTCCAAAATGGGTCATGGTCGTTTCCAAACCCCTGCCGACAAATTGGCCTTCATGGGTCCCCTCAAGAAGGATCGCATCAAGGAAGAACAAGCCGCCACCACCAGCGCTGCTGCTACCACTTCTGCTTAAATTATTTCCTAATTTCATACATATTTGTTTTTATGTAGTTTGGAGATTTGTTTTTTCCATATAGAACATCATGTATGGCAAAGAATAAAAAAAAACTAAAAATAATTAAGTAAATCGCTGGAATTTCTTTTATTTAAACTGTGATAGTAAATTAATTATAGTGTTATATTATTAGTATAGTTATTAGATAGAAATAAATTGTTCAAAATTTAAATTTTAAATACTAAATTTATTTGTTGAATTTGGCTTCCATTCTTTTTGCTACATTTTAATAACATTCTGAAATCTCTTTCGGGTAAAAAAATGTATTAAAAGTTGGCTAGATTAGTTTCGATGTAAAGCACTTGGAATACTTTCTTATTGGGAAAATTCAATATAACTTTTTATCCGTACAAAAACGACTCGATGGATATCAAAACAACCCTGTACGTAGTTTGAGATACAACTTGTTTGTTCCGTTGTACTACCTATGGCATAGGTCCTATGCAGATTCAATTGTTCATTTGTAAGTGAACTGATACCAGGTTACTGTTTCAAAGGACAATACTATGTTGAAATAGTCACCTGACGTGTTGCTATGTTTAAAACTACTTCAGGACTGCCCGTAGTGTAGTGTAA